ACGAAAAATTGGAAGATCAGCTAGAAAATGACGCAAAATTTTAAAATCGGAAAATTTAAAATCCTGGGTCCTGGGTCCTGGGTCCTGGGTCCTGGGTCCTGGGTCCTGGGTCCTGGGTCCTGGGTCCTGGGTCCTGGGTCCTGGGTCCTGGGTCCTGTGTCCTGGGTCCTGGGTCCTGGGTCCTGGGTCCTGGGTCCTGGGTCCTGGGTCCTGGGTCCTGGGTCCTGGGTCCTGGGTCCTGGGTCCTGGGTCCTGGGTCCTGGGTCCTGGGTCCTGGGTCCTGAGTCCTGGGTCCTGGGTCCTGAGTCCTGGGTCCTGAGTCCTGGGTCCTGGGTCCTGGGTCCTGGGTCCTGGGTCCTGGGTCCTGGGTCCTGGGTCCTTTGTCCTGGGTCCTGGGTCCTGGGTCCTGGGTGGCCCTTCTCAATCGAAATTCAAATGTTCGACTCCAAAGTTCGAAAATTTTCATTCTCAAACCATCAATTTTGTTTCCAAAAAATTCTGAGATCTTTACATTGGCATTTTCCAAATAATTATTTTTTGTTTTCTCAGAATTCGGGTGATTTTTTTTTCCAAAAATCGAACGAACAAATTTTGATTACTATGAGAAAGATCAAAAAGATTATGTACTTCCTGGTCAGAGAGAAAAACGTCCTGAAAAAAATTTATTAGGGACAAAAAGTCTGTGGGAAAAGGAGAAAAAAGTGTGTATGATCTTTGTCAAAAAGTGGAAAAGTTGTAAAAATCGGGAAATTTGAAATTGAGGCATTTTTGAAAAAATTCAGAACGTCCGAATTAAGTCGAGTATAGTTGAGAAACCAATTCAAGAAACATGGAACATGAGAAATTGAAATTTTTAAAAATCGAAATTTTAAAAATTCAACAAATCAACAATTTCTGGAAATCCAGAATTTAGGAAGTTCCTAAAAATATCGAAAAAATTGAAATTTTGAAACTTCTGAAATTTCGATACTCATAAAAATAATTTTTGACAACTTTCAGAAAAATCAATTTTGAGGCAAGGAAGTCCGAAAAATCAGAAACACCTGCTTTTTCATTTTTTCTGAAACTTCTTATTCTCTCTCTTTTTCTCTAAATCTCCATTTTCGGCGAATTGTCAATAAGTTTTGTGGGAAAACGTGCCAAAATGTGCAAATTATTTTTTAGACACAATATCTGAAAATCCAGAAAAAATCTGGAAATCTTAAAATTTGAAAAAAAAAGAACTTTCTAGATGTTTTCATCTGAAAGTCAGAAATACAAAAAAACTAAATGAGCAGACAGATTTTTTAGAATAATGACGAACTTTTTCAGACCGGAAATTACTAAAATGTTGTTCCCAGTACATTGTAGGCACCGAGAAAAGGGGACACATAAGATGAGTCGTGATTAGTGATAGCGAAATCAGAAATAGCCAAAAAAAAAGGAAGATAACCAAACTTCCACCTGAAAAATGTAGAAAAAATGATGCAAATAATAATTCGGAGGGTGCAACCATTCGGGGTACAAGGAGCACAAAATGCCTGAAAAAGGGCGCCCCCGAATTCTTGTATCCTCCAAATCATTTGCCAAAAAAATGAGTGTTCTAACTTTTCTAGAAGCCGAGATACAGCCATTTGAAGTTTCGAGAGGCTAGAGACACATACCAAAACACTGGACAGACGCAGAGAAACCTTTTGTGGTTTGCTTCAAACAAATTCATTTTTTCGGAGCGATTCTTGAGCGAGCAAAGAGAATGGGAGAGATCAAAATATAGCTGATTTGATTATCTTGATTATTATTTTTCCCAGAAGAATTACGGCTACATTTATGTTAGTTTTCTGATGTGAAT